AATTTGACTAATATGATTTTATGAATTAATAAAATCGCTTTGCACTATGAAAGAAAATTGCTGCAATCGATCCAGCTGATCGGTCGCTGCGATATAGCGGCTAAATCGCAATCGTGCTTCACTATTAATTCAAAATTAAACAAAATGCAATTTATTTATTTTGTAATTGTATGATAATATTTATTGTATGATCAGTGATTACCAAAATTTTTTCGCCCATAAATATATTTTTGTTATAATAGTAACAACTCACATTATTATTGTATAAATTAATAATTAAAATTTTATTGTAAGAAACACACACCAATCGTACAACTTAATAATTAAACTAATATATATTTTTTATATTAATTGAATTTAATTTATGTCTAACACAATTTGTGGAATTAATGCGATGCAAACCCAGTCGTATCTTGTGAATTTTGGCTCCCATTATATCAGTTGACAATGATTCCCAGCCAGGATCGAGATCCAGAAATTTCATACATAGAGAAGCGACAAATGATGTTATAAAAAAAGGATGTTACAATTGTTAATTTAAGGACATGATTGAGCAATGCCACTATCCACCAAAAAAATGAAACCCAACATCCGCTTATCCAACGAAAATAAAATCGATACCCACGTGTCCATGAATTCTAATAACCGGGTATCAACCAAACGTTTCGCTCGGGAGTTCGTAGACAATATGCACAGAGACCCTCCGTGTCTCAACCAAACACCAGGGAGCGTTATCATGTGAAGCCTGTAATCATCGATCAGGGGGAAAAAATGACAAACACTCCAATAGTAACCACAATAGACATGCTCTGGGAAGACCAATTATTACAATTATTGTATTCTATTATATTAGGTAAAATGATTATTGCCTTGAATAAAAAAAATAAATTTTTGTTGAAAATTATTTTTATTTTTTACTTTGTATAATTAGTGTATATCATTATAATATATTTTTAACGTATATTTTGGTTATAATATAATAATCTTGGCATTCTTCTAGCCCATAAAGGGGTGGCATGCCGCGGAACCTCGAAATATTGTTGATTATATAATATAAATTATATATATTAATGACAGTCAAAATTTTTACAAGCTTTTGTTTGAATATTAATAATTAACAAGAATCTTACCCAATGTAAAGATTACGAAATTCCAACCAAAAGAATTAAGACTAAGAAAGTATCAAAGCTTCTTTATCTTGTCGTGTCTACTATCCATTATATAAGTATCATCTCCTCAAATTATCTAGTTGTTTCAATTTTATATCTAAAATTTTTATTTTAAAATAGAATTTAATTATATTTTATTAGCCTTTACAGTTTCATCTACCACCATAAAAAGATATGCAGAAATTTGATAAAATTAACATTTAATAAAAAGGTAACGCAATTTTTTTTTTACAAAAACAAATTTATTTTTATATTACATTATGATACTTCTATACAAAACTTTAATTAACAAAATATAAGTGAGATTACTAAAATTTGAATACTTCTTAAATTTTTGAATATTATACATATCCACAAATGGTATAAAAATTATTCTTAAATATAACTAAATAATATTTTGTATTATTAAATTAAATATCTAATATTTTAACAATCCTGTTTTTTTTGGAGTTCTCCTCGCTGTATTTGAAGTGCGCGGTTGTCGTTAAAAGCTGTTGTCTAATTTGTTATTTATCCATTCTCTGTTAGCTTGTTGGTAGTTTTATTTATTCATTATTATTTGTATTATCATTTTTATTATTATCAATGTATCGGAATAATTTTGAATTGGAATAAATTAGATCGGAATAAATTAGATCGGAATTTTGAAATAATAAGGATTTTAGAATATTTAAAAAATGTTGTATAATGTCAAATTGTTTATTTATAATTATAATAATGTCAATCCAAGAAGAGCTTCTCCTTCCCTAAAGTCTCAAGGAAATTTTTAAATTTGACCTGGTTTATCTTAAATCGAAATATTATCTTTACTATTACTTTTTGTTCATCACTTTTATCCATAAACTAGGATTTGGAAACAACTTTTGTCAAAATATGAATTCATTAACTTATATCAATTATATTTCCAATTATAGATTCTTTCTATATAATTTAAATTTTTTATTCTTGAAAACTTCATTTGTAGGAAATTCTTCCACTTTATTTACATCACCTGTTCTATTAGGAAAGTGTTTGCACTTGCGATGCAAATGAAATTGAGCAATTATATCACAAAATTCTTACAATTTTTAAAATAAAAATTTTAACATTAAAAACATATTCTTCCAATCATAAGAAAAGGATTAAGAAAAGTAACAAGTTGGATGACAGAAATTGCCAAAATAAGTATAGGCAATGGTTTAAATAGGTGTATCTATTTATTTTATATAATATCTTTATTTAGTTCAAATTTTAGTTTATAATGAATTTATTATAGCAGTACATCATTTATAAGTTATTTTTTCTTTGCCTAATAATATTTTCTAATTAAAATATGTTTGATAAATGTTTTAATTAAACATATTTAATTTAAAAATAATTTAAATCGCAGCCTTTATTTTCCATTTTAACATACAATTATTTAACGCCATCTATTATCTAATTATGAGATTTTTGAAAAATAAAACAAAAATACGAAGACTAAAAAATCAGGTTAAGAAATATATTGAGTTAAAAAAAATTAACCCCTTATTCCTTCCACTCAGATTTAGACGAGTTTCCATGTCCTCCCCCACAATGGAAAACACACACAATTTTTATTATAAACGCAGAAATCTCCATCCCGCAAAACTCCCCTTATTGGAAATTTCCCGCCAAAAATCTCCTAAAATTTTAAAATTTTTTCAGCATTAAAATTTTCAACATTTTAACGTTTTTAATTTATAAATAATCATTTTGAAAAAAAGTTGGAAAATAAGGATCGGTTTTTGTTTTCAGTTTATATATTTTTATAAATTAGAATTTTGTCGTTTATTTTCGGATCAATGCATTGACTTCCACTACAAAGTAAGAAATTATAACTTTACGGAGACCATCAAATTTCTCCATCTATTTGAAAATTTGCGTGAGTAATTTAAAAAATTAAGAAAAATACAAAAGCATTTTTTTCTAGCTTATTCAAGAGGTACCGTAAATCCTCTTTAACCAAAATAATATTTTTTTTATATATTTTTATATAATATTTATTTAATCCAAATATTAGTCGGTTATGATTTTATTTTAATAAGGCATCAAATAGGAGCTAATTTTTCTCGTACCTATTTACATTTATTAAATAAAACATGTTTATTTTACCTTATTTTACATCTTTTTTAATTTAAAGATAATTCAAATCGCATTTAATTTTCAATTTTGTTAATAAAATATTTAGCGTCATCTCTTTTATTATATATATTTTTTAAATAATTTTTATGCTAATAATACGAATAACTTTTGAACAAGCAAAGACATGATTACATAAGGAGACCATAACAAAATATTTTTACCCAGGCCCTTTGGCGCTAAATATCTCTCTAGTCTACAGTTGCACGCCATCCATCGTTAAACGTTCTCTTCTTCTCTTAAATCATATTTTATATTAAAAATCCGCAAGGTTCGAACCGTGGAGCGGGAAATTTGTCGGGTCGGGCTCTACAAATTTAATGGCCAGACATGCAAAAAAATTTCTGGTCAGACAATTTATACATAAAATATCAAACATCGTAAATCTCTGATTTTTTGTAATTTTAACAGGTCAGCCTGGTCACTAAAATTTTGATATGTTTTATTTTGATTAATACTATTTGAAAATAAATTACCCTATGCTTATTTCTTTGTATTTTAGGAGCTGTCTATATATTATATCTATAAATAATATACTATATTCACAAAATAATTGGGCAATTTATCTATGATACGATACATTTACAATTGCCCAATACAGATACAAGCACAATTGATTTATAAAAACGTTGTTATAGAAATAGATAACCATAGAGGATAGATATATAAGAAGCCCAAATTGACATTGGAAAAAAAATTGGATATAGATATTAGAAATGTGATGGTCCGGAAAACTGGTGTAAAAAAAAATTTAACAGGCCGCTGGGGACTTTTCGCAAAATTTTAGTGGGATGGTACGGGCTGGTCATTTCGTAAATTTTTCATAAGATGGAATGAGCCCGGGCAAATTTTCTAAAAAACTATAACTGGCTATGTCGCAAAAAATTTGGGCGGGATCTGACCAGACAACTTGTCCCAAATTTTGTGAACCTCTATTTTATTTTATATTATTAATTTTTTTTAAAAAATATCTCGCTTTTTATAATTATTTGTTTAATCTCTGTAAAAGAAAATATTTTGGCTTGTACATATAATTATTAACATCGTACCTTAAACTGCTAACTCTTTCAGTAGTTTATTTATGATGAAGTCAAAGGGAAATTTGAGTTTTGACTTTCCCATAAAAAATTTTCCCAAATTTTTGTATTTCGAAATATTAAAAGAGTAATGGGGAGGGTATCATTAAGTTCCAATTTTCTTTACACCTCCATATTGGTTCTGTGAAAATCATGAAAATGAAAATACGTTTTACATTATTAAAATCATTTAGCAATTGAAAAAAATACCTGTTCTTCTTAATCTCTGACCTTTTTACCTAAGTATTTGAAAACTTTTAAAGTATGGTTTTATTTTAATGTCTTTCTTGTACAAAATTACAGTTATTAAAATATATATCAAAAAAAAATCTTTTTATCATTAAAAAACACATGCTTTTTTAAAAAAATATATATATCATCATTTTATGATAATACATTTCGAATATGTTACTACTACATACAATATTAATTGTAAAAGCAAAAAAAAGGAATTATTATGCCATTAATAAACTATAATCACACTGCAAAAACTAGGATATTTTGTTTACTCTTTCAAGATAAATATATATAGTTGGACCACATTTTTCTGTAATTTTAAACAAATAAATATTTATTTATTTTTTTTTGCAAAAAATTTATATAAATCTTTTTTGAAAAAAAAAGAAGAAAGAGACAAATTCCTTATTCGAAATTCTTTATCATAATTCTCTCATTCCTCTCTGGAAAATTGATTGAAATAATTCAGGGATTAGAAAGTAATAAGTGATGAATATCCGGTCAATTTTTTTGTTTTTAACTTTTCATCTATATGAGGTAACATAAATAAAATAAAAATTTACGTATTAAAAAAACCCGGACAATTAAAAAATATTTTAAATTGTTTATTCATTTTTTTTTTATTCCGCCGGAAATTTAAATATAAAATAAAATAATACAAACCCCTTATACCTTATGTAATTACAACAAAAGAAATGTCGCACGATTGTGTCACAAAAAATATGTATGTATTAAGAAAATAAAATTCAATATTTAACAAATTTTAACGTATATATATTATAGATAAAATAATTTTTTTCTTAATTCTTTGCAACGATTAATTAAAATTTTTTATTTAAAAATAACCTATAGCGCGATACCCTTGATTCTGTTAAAATTCTGGAGAAAAGAGGGAAAAAAAATTATATATTTTGTATATAAAAGAAAAAAAAATTATGAATCCAAGATCCAGTTTAGGAATATTCGTTATATCATTGATCATTCTTTTCTTATCGCTTACAAAATCCATTATCTGCAAGGATAAAAAATTCACAAATCCGAAAACCGATAAAATTCTTTTACGCAACTTGGATGTAAACCGCATTGAAATCGGCAAATGTCGCTCTCATTGTTTGAATCAGGTTAAATAATTTTTGTAAAAAATTTATAACAAAAGATATTACAAGGTTTTTAAGGTACAATTTAGGGTGGAAGTCAAAATTTTATTTTTAAAAAAATATCATTTAATTTATTATTTATGTCGCATAATGTAAAAATGCCTGAATCATTTCGACTTTGAACGCACCTCTTATAGTTTTTTTTGGTGAAAACCCTATTTTAAAACAAAAGTTAGGTTTAAAATATAATGAAAATTAAGGCATTTTATAAAAAATATCATAATTATTATATAAATATATAATAATTATTACTTTTTTTTATTTAGTGTTGTTATAAACAGTCCGATTTTTTTAAAAACGGCTAGATTAAGATTTTAGACAAAAAATAATATTTATGTAAGCCTGAAGATTTTGCTAATATATGGCAGAAATGTTTGGACCTCTATTCGCCATATCTCGAAGCTTAGATAATATCATTTTTGCTAAAAAATTTTAAAAGGGTCTTTTTTTAAAAAAATCGACATCTACTTATATTTATATTATAATATATTTGTTACATAAATATATTTTAGCTTTCTACTAGCATTGGCAACGACTCACATCATGACAATATGATGATGGTAAAAAAAAATTAACTTAACGCTTGTATATTTATATTTATTTTGTTAATTTATAGTGCTGGGATTTTTGTGAAATGTTATATATTCAACCAATATGGAAAAACGTTTGCATAGAATCATCTATTTGTGTAAGAAAATTATATAACCATTTTAATTAAAAAAAAAATTAATCTATATTTTATACATTTTTTCTTTTTTTTATACAGTTTTCTGGTTGCCACACATCTTGTGATTTCGTATCAAAACACACTAAATTAAATCCGTTAAAATTTATCGATGGACGGAATTATAAAAATGGCGCGTTAAAAATTGAATTCGAATCTAAGAAATATTCTCACAATAATTCGCAGTGCCTTCATTGGAATCTTATAGAGGAATCAGCAAAATCCATAGTGTACATCGTGTTTCGGAAAAATTTCCGGAAATGGGAAGAAGTAGAACAGGTTTTTTTTTCTCTTAGTAAATTAAAAAAATTTTTTTTAAAATTAATTTGATTATTTAAAATGGTATCTACATTAGTGTTGTTAAACGGCTAGATTTAACCGATTTTAAAACTAACTTAATGCTTTAGCGAGAAAAATATTGCCCTAAGCTTTGAGATTTTGCTAATAGATGTCCATCTCTTTGTGCTATCTAAAAGCAAAATCTTCAGGCTTGCATAATATTTTTCTGGTAAAATATTATAAGTTAGCCGTTTGTAAAAATCGGCTCATATTTAACCGTTTAACAACACTAATCGAAATTTAACATATTGTTATTTTATTTACTTTTATACTGAGTATAAATATTTTTAAAAAAATCTATTTATGATTAACAGACAACTTTAAATGAGTATTGCGAAAAGGGAGACACAAAGGACACGAATCCCAAGTACTTAGTTGTAGCGGTAACAGAGACCGATATATTAGCCTTGGATATCAATCGTTATAAATTCGATGAAACGTCATTATCTAACGTGATCGAAAATGATGACAACCATTATATCTCAAAATTGATAGATGACAGCTTAAAGATCGAGATATCTACTAAACGTAAGAGAAGTGCGCCTAGAAGATACGAGAACACATTACCGAACACCGATATCAATATAAAATGCCTAAAAAGAAATATAATAATGGAGACATTCGTTATCGTGTTTTTAACGATGTCGCTGATCATTGTAACTTTCTATATTTGGGTATTGGTAAGGCACAAAGAACCGAACGTTAATGTTATAATTTCTCAACCTCCAGTCAATTTTAAAAACGGATTGAACGAATCTACGAAAGAACATATTACGAACGCCCGCAAATTTGTCAAACTAACTCATATTTTAACGCTGAATCTTATTGACAAGATGTCGCTCAAAAATTATGTTAGCAGGTTACGAACTTCTAAATCGACAAAACCTTTTTACGTTTAAAAATAGAAAGAAAACAATATTACACGCGTAAAATTTTAGGTTTATGATATCCCTAAAAAAAATCAGTCATTTTTTAATTTGAAAGTTGAAAAAGCGATTAGAGCTGTAATTCCTAAACTTCATCCGACAAACAAATTAATCCCCCACCATGCACTTCACGTCAAGACAAATCCCAAATGATCTTACTTATAAAAACATTTTTAATTTATTCGCCATTTTTTAATGAATGGGGTTTTAGCGCGAAACAAAATGATGTCGTTTATTTTTGATAAATTATAATTTGTTATTTATTTATAAATATATATTATTTACCAATAAATTATTCACAACAACAAATAATATTTTTTTTAATTGGTTTAAATTTAAGTAATTTTTAGCAAATTTTTCGGAGGTTGCTTAAAAACAAACAAAATAAAAATAAGGTTCTTAAATTATGTTTTGCATTTGTGTATTAGATTTAACAAATATTTAAAAGTTAAAATGAATTTCTCCACTAATTAATAGAGAGTTAAGAAGCAAAAGTAAGATATTATTACATTCTTGCAAGAAAATAAAAATAATGATGGTTTTTGTTACGCTAACTAAACAAGGACAATGTAATAAAAATTAATTGTATAAAAAAACTATTGAGAAATCATATTATAAAAATTAATAATTTTTGCTAAATTTTACTTACATCTCACCCACCTCAATACCTGAAAGAAAAAAACAACTTTAAGAAACAATACAAAATTATATTTTAAAGTATAGTATTTATCATTTTTGTCATTATCATGTTAAAAAAAGACATACAAAATAAGTTTTATTTTATAACAAAAAAAAATAGCCATTCAATTTTTATCATTTACATTTTACATAATATTTTTTAATAAATGGTCAATTTCTATACCCAAAAATTAATAATTTAATTAATTTTTTTTTTAGTATTTGATTTGATAACAATCTGTTAAATTTAACATCTTACTATTAAAATACAAGTATTTGTTGAAGATTCTGTATCTTATAAGTTCTTTCCTTAACCTGATATTTCTCATTCCTATTCGAAAATAAAAACTCAAAAAAAAATAATATTGATTCAAAAATCGCCGCATCATTATCTTTCATCATTCTATTTTATTCTGTTGTCGTCGCTTTGAAAAATTATGCGTATTTAAAAAAAATATTAAATAAAGATAAAGGTAAATTTTATTTTTGGTAAATTATCTAATTTTTATTTTTTTTAAAAAAATATTATTAATTATAAATAAAATAAAATTTAGCATAATGGAAGGATAATCTTTTAATGAAATAAAATTAACTATAGAAATTTTTTTAGAAAAAATTATTGATTTAATTTTAAGTCTAAGTAAGCTTTAGCTCACCTATCGAAAATGAATCCAAAATTTATATACAAATAAAAAAAATTTCAATTATTCGTTAAATTTTAACTAAAATTATCGAATTAGTAGTTGGCTCGATTAAGATCATAGCCAAAAAAAAAATATAAGCCTTGAGATTTGGCAAAGAGATGTCGATATACTTATCTGCAACCTATGAGCATAATCTCCGGGCTTACATATTATTGTTTTGGTTGAATCTTATTCGGTCCGTTGTTAATAATAGACCCAAATCGGACTTTTTAACATAATCTCTGAATTTTACAAATATTGGTAATTTATTTTATTTTTTTAATTTAAAAGACACTGATTTATTATATTTCCCAGCAGCTGCATTATTGAATATATTTTTTTAATATTATGATGGTGACTTTTATAGTGTTGTTAAATGGTTCGATTTTTATAAACGGCTAACCAACTATTTTGGCCAAAAATAAAACACAAGTCTCGAGTTTTTGTTAATAGATGTCCAAACATTTCTATCTTCTATGAGCAAAATTTCCAGGATTTGTCTAATTCTTTACTAAAATATGGGGTTAGCTGTTTTTAAAATTGAGCCGTTTAACACTACAAAAACTAAAATCACAATTACTGTAAGAATGTTTTTAAAATAGTTATTTTTGGATTCTGAATTATCCACCAAAATGTTGGAATATTTTTTTTTGTTCGTTTACTAAAATACCAAATTTTTTCATTCGAAATTTACGATTCAAATACGAATATTTTATCATTCGATATTCTAGAAATCTCTGATCATTCATTATTTGAATAAATTATTTCACATAGGATCTATATCAATTTGCATAGGTGGCGTAAGCTCATATCATTTAGTCGGTGCATCAAAAAAAATTATTTTGCTCAAACATTCTATATTTTTTGGTAAGAACAAAAATAGGGCATGAGGGACTAGAGGTTTTGCAACTGGCGGATGTGTAACCCCTATCCGCGCTTTTTGACGAAAAAATTTAAACATGACTTATGTTAAATATTATTTGGTTGATTTAGTTCCTTTTTTATAACTCAAAAAACTTATAAATAATTATTTTTTTAATAATTTTAAGCCCCCTATTGATCATTCCGTTTGTAAAATATTTAAAGCCCCACCCACCCGCTTGTTTTTCATACCTTTATTTTTTACCCACTTGCATACCTATTATTTGCGCATCCATTCAGAAACTATTGATCATATAACAAAGAATATCCTCAAATGAAATTTTTATCAAATAAATCACATTTAACCATTCATTATGATAAATATAATTAGATAGCCTTGAGGTAAATTTTTTTAATGGGTGAAGCAACCTCTCAATCTTCTCCCCCCTTCTTATCTTACAAAGCCATGTGACTGCTAATTTAAGGTTTTATAAGTATAAACTATATATGAATTATTTTAAAAAAAAAAAAAATTATTTGTAGGGCGACAAAATCTATATTTGATAAATAATATTAAAAGATAAAATAATGCGACTAAAAATCAACTCCTTAGATATAATATTCCTGAGATGGGAGCGAACAAATCCGTTGTTAGTCCTTTTAATGATCCTACTCAAAGCCAGTTCTCCTCAAATTTTTCCTAGCATCGATCAAACACACAGAATACGTCACAAATCACACGCGCGATTGCAACCCGAATTACCTTTAGAACAGTTTGTCCCTAAAAAGGTGTACTGTAAAACAAGTTCCCTGAAAGATTTAACCATAATGCTAGGATCCGCTTTCAACCCCCGTTACATGTCAATCAATAAACCATCCATGTACATGAAAGCCAAATCGAATCCTATAGTACCTTCAAAGTCCTCAATCAAAGACTTTGTCAATGACGGAGAGTTTCGGTTAACAGACGAGGATCAGGATGATTTTTTACCTTTCGTGGTCAGTTCGCATTACACAAAGGATTTGGCTCGGGTTTCTAATAAGAAGGAAATCAAAAGAGATACATCTTCCGCCTTCTCCCTATCTACCCATAAAAAAGCCCAAACTAACTCGACGATTATATCTTTATCGAAATTAGCTCAATCTTTATCTTATAACAACGAATCGACGAGGCGTCCTAAGCGAAACAAGCGTTCCCATTATCAAACAGCCAACAAAACTCGCGGGAGACGTTACAAGCACTCACCCATATTTTCTTTACCCAAGAGCGCAAGTTTCAAGCCTTGGGAATGTAAATCCAAAGTGATTTGGAAAGACTTGGGCCCGGACTACTTTCCCCGATACCTGAGAACCATCGAGTGCACGTCCAAAAAATGCTTTTACTCCTTTTACAATTGCGTCCCTAAGGCGTTCACCGTAAAAATACTCAAAAGAGATAGGAAAGAGCTAGCCGGGTTTTCCTGCATAGATTTGACTCAGGATGAGAGTCATTACGAGGTCCAATATAAGCTAACGATAGAAGACGAAGTAGTCGATTACAATACTTTCCTCGGTGATGATAAATTACAAAATGAATTTGAGGAAAAATGGATTTTCGAAGAAAGGGCTGTCGTATTTTGTTGCGATTGTGGATATTCTTAATTTAAAAAAATGTATCCCAAATTTATTTTTTGGTCGCTAATTTTGAAAAAAAAATCAAATTATAAATAAATCAAAACTGTGGGGGCGGGGTAGTTATGTAGTGTAGAAGTCGTTTATTTTTTATAAAAACTTAAAACCCCCACCCAAGAGAAGCTCTAGTATCACGATTCGACCCACTTAAACCCTCCCCTCCTTACACTAAAGCGTCAAATAAAACATCAAGTCACAAGAGATAGCGCGTCTAATTTTTATGTATAACCACATCGCGTTGGTTATTTTATTCATAGATATACTATATGAATTTCATTAAATGTTTATTTTTATAGAAAAAATTATAATATATTACTTATTTATATTGTTATATTGTAAATGATAATATAATTAATAAAAAATATTCGTTATTTTTATAACAGCAATTTAACTGGAAAAAAATATAATGATTTTTAAACATCTAAAATTACTGATGTTGGTCTTCTATCCAAAATTTTTTATCAGGTACTTGGTTACATTTTTTATAGCCAAATAGGATATAAAACAATTTTTCATATTTTTTCTTTGATATATAACTAAAAGATGCTAATCAAATAGATGAATTTCTTAGATTTGGAGATGATATTATTTATTTTTAAAAATTATTCTTTCTAAATTTCATAAAACTATAACAATTATTTATTGATGTTTCAAGGAATGAAATTTAAAAGGCTAAAAATATTTCTTGTTTCATTTAATCTGCCTTAAATTATTTGAGAATTATACACTAAATATTAAAAAATTTAAGTGATAATAGCCATTATAAGTAATATTTAAAATTTTTTTTAAATAACATAAAAATGCAATTAAATATCATTTTAGAGTGTTTTTGCATTATGGACTTCTAGCTATTTTGTTTTGAAATTATTTTCTTTATCTTCTCTACAAATAAGTGAAATTCCAGGTAATAAGATATTACTATTTAACGCTTTTTTTAAAAAAATCTCTGCAATTTATATATATTTAAATTAAATGGAAAAAAATTGAAAAAGAAATAAAATTTCTAGCAGGGAGATAGCTTTACTTACTTAACTAATAAAAAATATAAAATTTTAATGCAGAATTACTTTAAAATTCAAAAAGATCATTTTATGTAGATTGAATTTCAAAAATTATATTAAATACTCTCTTCACATTTACGTAAGAATCATTTTCATCAACAGGAATAAGAAGGAGAAATTATTATTTGATTTATCATAATAATTCTTTTTTAAATTAAAAGATATTAAATATTATTATATACTAAATTGGAATGAAATTCTAAAAAATTAATATGACTATTCTAAGATTTCCGTTTTTTCTAAAAAAAAGAGGTTTTATATGTAAATTAAAAATAAAAAATGGCAGTGTGAGTTGTGAGTTTCTGGTTAAACTAATTTGAATATTTTAAAATAAAATATAGGAAGAAAACGTAAATTAAGAGACGACGTATTTTGGCGCAAATAAGAGTAAAGAGAGGTATGCGCCAAAATCGGAAAGTCTGGCTTCTGGTTAAATTCGCTTTTAAATGGTGTGATTGCCCCAACACTCCGTATTCCTCTACTTTATCCTGTTAATCCCCAAACTATTAAAACACGTCCTATTCTTCCAAATGGCTCGGCTTTGGGCTATCACCAGAAATTTTCTTATCAAATATTTTCCTGCGGATTTGAGAAATTCAAGTTAGCCGTGGCCTGCCTTTTGCTCGTTAGTCCTTAATTTCAAGATCGAGAACTAGTTTATTCATTTTAGTTCAGTTACAGTTCTCAGTACATGCCTTACCATGTCAGTCTGCTCTCCTTTATCTTTTCCGAGAATAGAGCTGTACCATTCTTCTTTCTCGAGCTATCATTGATCATGCAATCCTGCTTACTGTAACCTGGTTCTTCAATTGATTTTGATACCACAAGCCTATTTTTCTCTAATTCTGGAAATATAACTGCTCTATTTAGGCTAACTGATATGATTTCTTATAAATTTGTAAGTGGATTCTTCGATCTCCATTTGAGCTTAACTCACAAGTGATTTAGGCAAAAATTGTTTGATATTATAATTACCATCATGGGTAGATAGAACGTAAATGTAGTGGCCTAAACAATCTAACCATACCTCTCCTCTTCTAAATTGTATGGCACCTAAGGTTATGGAATAAATTGATATATTCTTGAATATCCCTGTATATGTTTTTTAATTTTTAAATCTATTGATGTTAGGTACCAAGATAAGGAATATAAGCCCGATCATAAATTTATATTTTAAGCTCTTAGTAAAAATGATGCTATATTAGTATGGATCATTACACAATGGCTATAATTTGGGACATAGAGAATATTATTAAATGGTGAAAAAAAAACAACTTATTATGGAAAGATATTGAATCATATAGAGATTCTAAGATAGTCCAATTTAAAATGAAACAAAATAAAGTTTAGCAATCATATTTAAAGCCGGGTGCTGTCGGTGAAGTATAATTAACAAGGAACCTGTTACAATTCCGTATATTTGTAATATATTTATCGAAGGATTTAAGGGAGACTAACTAAAAGCTCCAAGGCAAATTATCGAACTTATTGTATGACTTTATTCACGAGAGATTTCAACAATTAACACCAAAAAGATTTTATTCACGAGGTTTCAACAATTTACACTAAAAATTTACTAAATCAAAAAACACTACTTTATTTAAAATTTTTTGTGTATTTATATAAATTTTTAATATGCAAAAAAAAAATTGAAAGTAAATTTAAGTTCATCATATATTATATATTTCAAAAACTTAAATATTCAAATATGTCTAAATATTAAATTACAATCGTCGAAAACTCGATTAACAATATTCAAAACGAAAATAATTATTTAACAACATAATTCTGGTTCAAATATTTAAATTACCGCTTAATTATAAAAAATGGAATAAAACACATAAATATAACACTCTTATATATTACACATGATTTTGTCCCTCCCTCAATATAATCCTACAGGATTCCCAATTATGAGTAGTATTAACTATTTACTCACATGGTATATATTGAAAATAATGGTCTTATATTATAATGACTAAACATTCGAATAAGAGAGGTATGACAGGGACTTCACTAGCCTTTACAATCTCAGGGTGCTCAAAAAATTTTTTTAAAATTATTTTCAAAATTAACTTTTTAGTAGTATAAAAAAATTCAATTTTTAATGGGGCTTTTCAATTTTTTCAGTGGACTCGAGCCCCTGCACTACCCCCCCCCCCCCTTTCCACCCAGTGATGATAATGGTATGTTTCTAGCTCTGGGGTTGTAGTTATAAAGTGCATGATTAGGTTCCGATTAATTCAATATCAATATTTTAAGACTCTTTTTACTGTTTGACATATAAAAATACTCCTCCAAAAATCATCAGTTACCTAGCTTTTTGAATTTGGAAATATTTTTTTTAATTCAATATTAAATTCATATCGATTTTTTTAAAGAAATTTTGATTATTTTATTTATATTATTAATGTTGAATTATCAATTATAAAGATTAAATGTTTTTTTATCGTTTTATTGTACATCTAACTACAGATCAGATCACAGCTAAAGATTTATTTGTAATAAATTAAAGCATAATATTTTTATAGTTTTTTATATTATATATGTCAATTTTTAATCACTATAATTTAATATATCAGATATAGTATTAATTTAAAACGTATCACAAAAATGATTACTAATTGTAAATCGTGCCAATAAAAATGGTGAAAAATTAGCAATCCCGCTTGTAACTCCTAGAAAATTTTTAAAGCAATATTCATACAAGTTATTCTGACTAGTGATGGTCAACTTTTTGTCAGAATGCTAAAGCTCGCGACAAAAAAAATTATGAAAACTTAAGTTTATAAAGATTGTTAGACACTCCTACGTTTAGTATAATTGTAAAAAGATATTTTAACAAAGAAGAAAATATTAATTTCGTTAGACACAATGTTAGGTATCCAAATCGAACATGAATCTAACCGTTTAACCGGTATTAATCTAGAACCTGAACCGAATTTCGTTAAAAAAGTCGTTGGAAACAAGTTTTGATTTTTCAAAGCTTGTCGTCATTTTTATATTTTTTTGTATCTTGCTATTTAGACGGTGTTAGTTGCCCAGGATAGCGTTAAGAAATGTTAACAATCTCTTAAATTTATTTTTTCTTACATATTATTTTACAGAAGCGACACTTTAAAAATATTTTGAGTTCATTTGTTTCCCTTTTTTTAAATTTTACTTTCATAACATAATAAATTATATTCAAATTATCTTATTTATATATATAATATACTTGCTTTATGATTAGTTTATATACGTGGTTTTATTTAATCATATTATAATAATAAAGTATGGCTCATCAATATTTTTTTTAGCCCGAAAAATATTGACTAAACCTTGAGATTTCGCTAATAGATTTCCAAATCTTTGTGCCATATATGAGCAAAATCTTCAGGCTTACATAACATTTTTCTGGTTAAAATATTGAATTATCAGTTTTAAAAATCGGCTCAGATCTAGCAGTTTAGCAACACTAGAGCCAAACCTGAACCTTGAAGCGTTACTTTTTATCTGAACCTGACGCTGAACTTTTTAGCGCTCTTTTTATCTGTATTCAAACCTCAACCGAACCTATATTCATAATTCAAATCCCCTGATATGTTACCTAGGACAATTTGGCGTCCATTTGATGGGGGAATAAATTGTGATGGATTGTGACCTGTATGAATATTTTGAAACAAATTGATAGTTAAGACACTGTATATCATTGGCTTGGCAACCAATTAAATGACGCTTATACCTCCTGAAATATAAAATGTTTCAATTATGAAATAAAAACTGACTATGTATTATGAGTAAGAGAATACTCCATCCTCATCAGAGTTTATCCTGAGGTTTCAAAGGTGATATGAAATAAACATTTAAGTTCAGACTATGATTATGAATTATAGTTTATATGTAAACTGTAGAAGATAGGTGTAGATA